TACAATCATAGGGTCTTCACTGTTCTCTACTTTCATAAATTAAATCATAAAATATCTCATCAATATTATAAAAACCCAAATTTAACCACCACTTGTCTCAGTCACAAAATTAGCTTTTTAAAATGGTTTAAACTTAAATAAATTCCAAAATTATTCAAAAAACAGCATAAAAGTTAATTAAACAATCTGAAAGAAATACATATAGGATGCAGAATAAAAAGCAGCCCCCAAAGCAGAGAAACACAGTCGTCTCTACAGCAAAACACAGCACCTCTTAGCAACTCCTTACTAGAGTTAATAAAAAGAATTTTATAAGGTTTTCTTCTTGTAAAGTCATCCCAATGGAAACTTTTAGGAGAGTGCAGTTGTTTCTACTTCACTCTTACCCACACTCAGGCCAGACTTCCTTCTCATGAACAGAGGAACTAGGACTATTTTAGTGTTACAGCACTGGCAGGCAAACGACAAAAAATAACTGTTGAAAGACATAATCACAACACTCAATTGCATACAGGATATCTAGACTTAAGTCCTTGGCCTCTTTGCTCTATGTGTCTCCATATCAGGAACAAAGAACATCCCAGTTCTAGAGAGCTGATTGTATAAAAATGTGTAAAAAATGCTTTTACAATCAGTGCCTAGGAGATATCCTCACTCTATTTTCAGTTTAAAAAAACCCAAAACATAATTTCATTGAAGAACATCTTAAATCCCAAACTTTGACGTAACAATGTTTCTCACCTAGCTTTACCCAAGGTACCAGGGACAGGGGTGTATGTGAGTGAACATCCAGCTCTCCACTATACTTTGTTAAAGAGCACCTCACACTTCTGAAATAAAAGGTTAAAATTGATTCTCTCCCACATAAAGATTGTATTTGGTAGTAATATGAAGACTATGCATTCAAATTAATTTTCATAATGTCCTTGTACAGACACTGAAATTTCAGTATTTCACTTTAAATTTTAACATAAATCATGCTAATTTTCTGTAAATATGAAAAAAAAATATATCACTGTTCATGATTCAAGAACTGTACTGCAATGCAGCCACACTCCAATTCTCATCACTATATATTAACCTACCTTGATAGACTCAATTAATTACGGAAAAGAGCTTAAAACTTATTTTAGGTCTTACAACTGTTGTAAAAGGCAACTCAGTATATGACAACTGGGATGAATTGTTGGCAAGTATGAGGAAATACACCCAATGCTTTCTAATAATTTTCACAGAGAAATCATATGAGGCATAGTGCCACGCACCACAAACAGTGAGACACACATATTCAGAGATGCAAAACTAAGCCTACTTGACAAAGAAAGTATACCCTGCTCCCTGCCCCCAGTTTCCCTTGGGCAAGAAGCTGTTTGTCAGATATCCATTCTGCCAAGCAAACAAAGTCGGCTTTCCTTTGGAAACAGGCCCTGATAAACATCCCACAAAGTCCTCACTTAAAGAAAAGTACTTCCACTTCAAAAGATCACCAGATGTTTTCCAAGTAGAGGAATGAAAAACAGCCAGAGATGACATCTCCTAATAAAGTAGCGATAGCACAAGCACAGGCCACCACACGTGAACACCACCCTAGCATTAAACATCCCATCTCCAGTCCCAGCTGGTCAGCGTGAAGTTAAGTCCTCTGCAGGAAAGACACGATGTGATTCCTGATTCTCACAACTACCAGCTTTGTAATTCCTTTCTACATAGTCTGCAGTATATCCTTTTCTTGTCTAAATGGGTTTGGTTAAGGACACTCCATTACAGCAACCAATTAAAAGCATAATTATAACATACAGCCATAAAAAAAATTGGCATTTCCATTTAGCTTCTTTAAAAGAATTTTTTTCTTGACAGAACAAGAATTGTTCTCTATTTTATCTCATAAAATAGCCATGGAAATCTTTCCTGTATGAAATTTTAAATACTCACACTTCACACATAAATTCATATGCAGAGACACACTAAAGAAAGGAACACAAGCTAGCCCTATTATCTCAAGTGTCCATTTTGGAAGTATTTTTTTGGATTTTGCTCTTACCCAAAGAAGCCTTTGCATCTAGCCAACCCCAACTGCTCCCTGGCTGCTGAAAAATACATTCACTCAACATACACAGAGAAAAATACAGGGAAATTTTTAATAATGGTTAGAAGAATAAACTCTTTTTAAAGCAGTGCAGACAACAGAAACACAAGCAGTAATTTTTCCAAGTTACTCAGTACTTGAATCTGCTCTGCAGAAGGGAAATGAACTAGCACAGACTTGCCACTGCCTAATTAGCAATGCATGAATGGAATGTCCAAACACCAATGAACAGATATGTTACATAAGCATAATCAACTAAATTATATTCCATTCTTTTACTGCATGCAGTTCTGCCTTAACAAGTAGTAGCAGATGCAGCAAGCTGACCTTACCTTAAGCAAGGTATAGATTCAGATGGTTGTGGCTAATGAAAAGACATTAATTTAATTTTAAATAATTGTGCCGCTTTCATATACATTCTCACAACATCCCCATGAAAAAGACAGAAGTTTACTATTATTTTTCCCCTTTGTATACATTAGGATTGATACAAATAAACTTGTGGAATTTACTTGTCAAAACCACAGAAAACCTCCTTGTCAAGAATAACACTGAGATTTGTAGTGAATAGTATATACTAGTAAACAGAAAGGCACTTACATGACTTTCAGCACTACAGCTATCTTTGTTAGGACAACAAATACGTAAAGAAAAAAATTCCCATAATGTCATAAGAACTCTTTTAAAAAAAATTAAAGCAATTGATTTCATATGTGGCCCCAGTGTAGGATTTTATAACCATTACGCAAAAGTTAATTTTTTTTTTTTTTTATGATGTAGCAAAGGGTTCTGCACCTAGCCTCATCCTCACTACAAGTTACAATAACCCACCCATGTGCCCACTGTCTGAAGGCAGTGACCGGTGCTGCTCATCCCTCCTGAACCGGCCATGGGTGGGCCAGTGTATATGCATCCAAAATAACCCCTCAATTATTACCAAAAATATTGTATGTTTCCTTCCTCTGGTTGTTATACGTATTTGTATTAACCCCAAAATCCTCACTTCTGTTCCACTTGCAAAATGGGTCATGAGAATTATCTAGAAAGTGAACTAAAGTGTACTTTAGAGTAATTAAAATTTATCTTCACTGATAATTCCTTAAATATGTTTTTTTAAGAGAATCAGCAATGGTAAAGTAAAAAAATATACAAGTTCCATTAGTTTCCAATCAAGATTTTTGAGAGAAGAGGAATATCACAGAATATTCTGCTTTGGAAGGTACCCACAAGGATCAAAGTTCAACCCATGGCCCTGCACAGGACAGCCCCAAGAATCACACCATGTGCCTGAGAATGTTAATCAAATGCTCCTTGAACTCTGTTAGGTTTGATGGTGCCCCCTGGGGAGTCTGTTTCCAAAAAAAAAAAAAGGGGGACAAAAAAGGAAAAAAAAGCATCAGTTGACACAAGATCAGGTAGAGCAGAATCTCAATTTATATTAAACTCTGAATTCTGGAATCATACTGAACTACACCACTCTGAAATCTTGTCAGAGTATCCCACAAACTGATATGCTGCACAAAGTTGGAGCTGTTGCCCCAATTTGAGGCTGTCTTTGAAAAACAGCAGCCCCTGCTCAAGTGATTCCTTAGGGATGACTCTTCCCTCACAGCATTACATTGCCCTGGAGATGGATTATCCAGTAAAGACAGTTTCACAGTAACTGTCACTAAACAAAACTGAGTTAAATTCAGGGTCCTGACCACATGGATTAGGACAAGGACAGCCAAAAGTGGTTTTGCCAACAATAACCGCAGTAACATCTTGGAGCATTAATGAAACTGCCAATAATGCTGGCCAGTAGTCCAACCCATTAAAAGCTGATCTCACAAGTTTCTGCTTCTTTCACATTCCCTATTCCCTAGTCAGTATCCAGTAACAGACCTCTATCTGTGGCAGTGGCTAAGCTAGAGAGAAATCAAAGGATGGTAATTCCCAAATTCCTAAAGAGTTACAGCTGAACAAAACTAAGATTAAACCCTCTTTCATACTTATATGGCTTCGTATAAGCTCTGTGTGAACAATAAGTGAAATGTCCTATAAGCAATAATGTATATTATTTATACATATATTAACATATACATATATTAACATATACATATATCAATGTATATAATAGAGTACAAGTCCATAAGTAATATTGTCCTATATAAGGAACAGATGGAAACCTTATGGAAAAATCACTATCTATACAAACTATACTAGCGACTTTACCAAAATAAGAGCAGCTGTACTAAGTTCAACCGCAGGTCTCCATAACCCATGTCACCGTAAGATCAGAACCAACACATGATACTTTTATGAAGTGTCCCAGCATCCAACTACCAAAAGCCAAATCCTATTAAGAATTAAAATACATAATAACAAGAACTACGAAAAGGTATGTTTACAGGAAATCAAACAGGATAAAAAAATAGCTACATTCAATGTTCTCTTAGAGGGAGCATAAACACAGAAGGCAATGACATGGTGTCTTTGTAGATCCTACCTTTGTGCCCTCAGAAACCTGGGCTATAGTGGTGGCCATCCAGCTACCAGCACACAGCAGGTAAGGGGCACTAAGTGTTAACTTTACACAAAGAGCCCTGTAGTCCAGCATCCATAACACCCTTCTGTAACTCTCTGTGCTCTGACTACACAGATTTGTCTTAGAAAACACATATTTGCAGATTTGGACTGCAAGGACCAGTTTCTCCCCAGCTTTCTTCCCATCATGCTCTAACTACATCAACAAGTAAAGTTCATGAACAAGACTGGGTAGATGACAGGAGCTCCTATTTCAGCAGAATACCAGTGGGACCAAGCCTTAGCGGGATATGGGGAAAGGGAGTGTTAGAGAAGGAAAAACAGCTTTGGAAAGTTAATCAAATTGTTACAATAAAATTGGATTTAAACTCCAAACTATTTCCATTACCTTCTGGTGGTGGGGGAGGAAAATCCTCTGTGTCCATCCTAATGTATCCACTGCAATTTTAGCAGACTGTAAAACCCTGCAAAAATGAAGGGAACATGTTTTGTAGATGAACATCATTTCCAAATACTGAGACACTCCTTTTCAATTTGGCTAAGCTCATACCTATTAGCTAATACCATTATGGAAGAGAAGAAATGTGCCTGGCTTCTTCAATATGAATCCAGTCCAAATTTTTATGTATACAGCCCCCAGTATTGGAGCCAATTCGTTTAATGACCTCAGTAAGCCAGCTGAAGAAAGATGAAGTTTTTAAACTATTTGGTGCTCTGCAGCTCCAATTGTGACAATCACAAGCAGATTACTAAAACATGTTATTTCAATGTTTGGAGCACATATTCTGTTTCAAAATCTTCGTGAAGGGGATAAGGATAAAAATTTTAGAAAGTTCCTCAGTTTTGACGATGCTTTTCTCCACCTGGCAATCAGAGCTAAGTTTTAATTATGCACTTTGTAAACCACTTCTTGCCTCTTTTTTTTTTTCGCCAATCTTAAAAAATTCTGCTTGACCCCTTTACTTTCACCTTTCCAGAGAAGTACCAGCAAGCAGATTCCTGAGCACCTTCTCTTTCCTCCTCTCTTCTCAAGTGCCATCAATCTCACGTTTTAAGGAAAAGAATAACCTCACAAAGCATTCCCATACTTTGGTCCTGAATACACACTTAGAGAGAGCAAAGCCCAGAATTCATGAGAGACATTTTCCCTCCCTCCCCATAACACTATTTAATAACAACATTCCAGTATCACCTAGAAGGAAAACCTCTTGTGCTGAGCAATGCATACATTCCGCCCCAAACCAAAAAAATTTTCACTCTAACTCAAAAGACATCATGTCAAAAAGACAGATTTCAGAACAAGGCTGAGGAAAGTTTCCAAAAGCTCCACAGGGCAGTGGAAGAGTTAATGCTGAATTTTCTGTCCTACTCTTGAGTAGCCCATAGATGTTAATCTGAAGAACCTACTACTTCTGCTGGCAATGGCACACAAAACAGTTCAAGCCCTCGGAAAGTCTCCACAGCTCAAGTATGAAAACAGTAAGTTGAAGGAGACAGTAGAATTCAAGGAACAGCAGAGGAATAACAGACTAAATGGATCAGGATACAGATGTCAAATGAACTGTCACTTACAGAAGAAGTGCCAGTGAATGGCAGAAAACACTTCAAAAAAGGGCCAGCCTTAGAAGGTACCATAAAATTTACCTCCCTAACATTAGGCATGCAAGAGCAAATCATCAGGACAGATGTAGAAGGAAAGGTAATAACTCTGGTAGAGCCAGATCCTATTGTGATGAGACAATTCCTAACAATTTGAATTTACTAAGCATACAAAATTCCCTTTTAAACTGTTTTAAGATTTGGTAATTCTTAATCCAGTCCTAGATAAAAACAAGTGGCTTCAGAGCTAAGGCTCTGAAAGGATTCACCCACATATACAACATCTGTCTAAAACACAGAAAAAATTTCATTACATGCTTCCACTATACAGAGTCCCTTCTAAAGCCTCTCTATAATTTCTGTCTGAAGAGCTCCAAGGCGTGTTCCTGCTTACAAGTGTCTGGAATGCATCTTGCCACACCAAAACTGTCAGCCAAAATGAGCAATAGTTATGGTTTAAAGAAAAGGCCTTTTTATGCTCTTAAAGCTGCATCATGACTGGAGCATAGGTTCTCAAGTGTGAAACATATAATAACCACCAAATCTCTGAGTCTCAGCACCTTTTCCAAATGCACCTTTAACAGAGTAGCTAAAAAGCTTTGAGGATGTTGGTGTTGTGTTTTTTATTTAAATATATGATACAAGTTTTCATGAGTCTATGAAAATTAACTCCAACAATTATTTTTTAAATCAATTTCCTTCTCGCAAGCAAATATTAACAAGACACAGAGCTGAGCTATGCAGCTTTATTTCCATTTTGATCTAGGTCACAGTTATATGCTTCGAATTACACAAGAATTGTGTCAAGGAAGGACACAGACCCAGTGTTAGAGTCCCAGCCACTGACCTGCTTGCTCCTATCTAAACAGTGCAGTTATTCACAAGAAGAAAGATACACTGTCTCACTTAAGAATGCCTCAGGGGTTGATTTATACATTGCATTAATTCATCTTGAAGTTCCACATATTTTTCTCTACTTTTTAGCTGCTATGACAAACCCTGCAGCCGCAAAGAGTGCTTGTGTATTATACATGCCATTAATACCCTCCACAAAAATGAAATAATTGCCATTTTATGTAGCAGACAGCACATTTATGAAGAATCTCTAATAGCACCATATTTCAAAGAGACGTTTTTCGCTCTTCTATTGAGAGGCACGGGAACTAACTCAAGTTAAAGATGTTTAAAGTAAGATTAAGGCAGATGATTTAATTTGACTAGCAGCATACGGTACATTTGCATTTGTAGCTCACATGTGGTTTTCCCCACTGATTCTGCTGCTAACAGCACACACCTGTACAGGTGCATTCAGATGATAATCACAGAAATAACAGCTCAAACTAACCTGAAAGGCACTTCTGAATGTTCTCTCATACACTCAAGAAAGGTGTTTTCAAAATTAAAGCAGATTGCTCAGGGCCTTTGTCCCTCCAAGTAGTGAAACCCCATGAATGTGGAGGTTTCACCACTTCCCAGAGCATCCTGCTCATATGCTTAATGAGCCACTCCAGGAAGAGTTTCTCCCATATGCTCAGCTGGAATTACTCTTGCAGCAGCTTGCAGCCATTGCCTCTCATTCTCCTGCTGCACACCTCTGAAAAAAGCCTGGCTCCATTTTATTTCCAATCCCACCTTGGGAAGCAGAGGACTGCAATTCAATACCCCTCAGTCCTTTCTTCTCAAAAAGACACACCCATTTCCCTCAACCTCTTCTGACCTGTTCCCATCCTTAACCATATCAGTGGACTTCACTGGATTCACTCCAGTTTGCCAGTCCCTCACTTGTACTGGGGTCCCACACTGAACACTAAATTCCAGATGCAACACTGAGACCTCTGAGTAGATGTTACTTGCTTTAGCATAAAATTATATGAAAAATTTAACAGCTAAGTGCTTTTAAGACACAGAAGATCAAAATTTTGTTCCAAGGGTATTTAAAAATGGCAAATAGAAAAAACTCCCTATTAAATATGAAACATATGTGCTATTATATTCATGTGTATTCCATTATAAAATAATGAAGCTGAGTAACTGAATAACTGCCCTCACCTACTGGACATGACACAGAAGTCATAAAAATATGGAGCTTTTTTTCCCCATACAAAATTGATTTCTCAAACATGTTATAACCTCTATGTAATGACTCAAATTGCACCCTTACAGGCTCCCTCCACAGCAGTCACAGAAACACTGGGACAGAAAGAAGCTCTTGAAGTTATCTAGCCCAAACTTCAAGATTTCCCATTGGCATCCAGATGCGTGACCAATTCAGCTGACTCAGTGCTCATCACCTTCTATGCTTCAGATGTGGGTAGAGGTAGCAGTGACTGGTGTGGACCACAGTGATGATCTACAGATTGCCTCCTTTCCCTCCCTTCCCCCACATTTCACCTGTGGGCAAAACGTACAGCAGATGCAGAGAGAGAGGCCAAGGATCTCCCGGACATTCTTATTAAAGGCAGCTGACTCACTCTGGTCAAAATATTGGCCTACACTTCTCATGTCTGCTTCCTGATGTTTTCATCTGGTCCTTTCCTCTCAAACTGTTAGCAGGAACAGGTAATTCTTACTTATATTTACAGTCTGAAAGAAGAAAGATAGTTTTCCAATTTTTCAAGCTCCCAGTTTACCTGCCCACTTATAACTGAACCAATCCATCCAGGCAAACCCCAACTACTCCAAGCCTAAGAGACTACTACTGCTGTTAAAAACCCCCTACTTGTAGCAGAGTAGCACGCTTTTATTCCAGGTATTTAGCTAGTAACTTCCTAAGTTTGGCATTAAAAATCAGGAATAAGCATTAAATGCATGAATTTTGAACAAAAAAGGAAATCAGATCCCTCATTATACTGCAATATATTCAGTTCCTCATTAAATATCTAAATTTTAAATTGCTATATAAGAAAAAAAAAGGAATTAAAATACTACATTAAAATCAGATGTTTCTAGGCAGATGTTTCAGATGTTTCTGATGCGGAAAAGTTCCACACAGTCGAAGCAGTCAGATTTCCAATGGCACTCACACCAGAAGCCAGAGTTGTTCAAATGTGAAATGAACCCCAAGGACAGCTCTCAACACTTACTTTAAATTTTCCACCAAGAACACTCACCTTTGACCATGGTACTGAAGGCACCTTTGAAAGCTGATACTGAAGGAAGTTGGGGTCTGCGATGTTCCACAGCAGACCTCACAACCTCAGAGTTAACACCTGTATAATCTGTGAGACTCAAATTCTGATTCCACAGCAAATGGCAGTTTCAGCAAAGGAAACAAAGACACTTTTATACTTATCCAAAGACCACAGAAGAACGTCAGTGTTCCTCTCTGCAACTCAGTTTCCCTTCTCCTAACCTCTGGTAACACCTTCTGCCTCCAGGACTAGGCTTCTCAGCTACATCTGCACATCACAGTTCATTCAATGATTTCCTCTAATTGTGGGACAAACAACAGACCATCAGTTCTCAGCTACAAGACTACATATACTGATCAACATCTGCATTTCCACTTCAACAAAACTATTTTCCAAAAGTCACTACTTGTGCAGAGGTCAGTAGGTAACAGAAATGGGACCAAAACAAACTCTGCCAAAACTACAGGGCAGTGCAGCCTTCAGATCTGGGGGCACAGTATCCATACACTGAGCTCCCAAGGGAGCACGTGCTGCCAAGTTTTTTCAGCTCCACCACCCTAAGAACTGCAAAGCTGATTGACATACTTTCTCCTTAGGTATGTGTGTGTACTATAACTGCAGCAACATCAGGATTCCTCATTCTTAACACTGGAGAATGAGCCAATGAACATTTTATCATAGGAAACAGAAGCTGAATCAAGGAGACTGATTTCCCAGGAACCGTGACTCATGGAGAAAGCTCAATCCAAGCAGCAATGTCTCTGAGAAAGGCTTGAAGTCTGAAAATTAAACTAAAAAAAACAACACCAAACCAAGAAAAACTGTGAAGGCAAAGCCCATGAATGTCTAAAAACCTCTTGTGTCCACATTACTTAGTGAATATTGCTGTGTAATGCCAAATTGAGTCTTCTTCCACCCCTAACTACAGAATTCCTATTGGGAAGTAAATCTTGCTGAAATTTGATATAAAGACTCTTCCAGGTGTGCAGAGAAAAGATGAGATAAAAGAATGCAGAAGGTAGAAGGTCAACTCCTTTTTTTTTCCTCCTGTACATCAAGAAGGCTCGTTACACCAAAAAAAAAAAACCAAAAATTATAGTACAGTTTGTTTTCCATACAAGTTATCCCTACAAAACACACACTGTAGATTTTTTTAAGATATATGAATGAAAGGTGTATGAAGTAAGCATTCATATTATGACAGCTTTCCATCACATGCTGTAAGCCACAGAATAAGTCTGTATCAACATTGGATCATTATTTCTTTTAATGTATGTTACATATATTAATGATTTTATTAATAGCTAACAGTCCTGTTCTATACAAATTTTATTCTTAAATTTATCGAAGAAAATTACCTAAATCATGGGCAATGGAATAATAAAGGAAGTACAGAAGTTTATTCAGAAAATTAATATGAAGCCCAGTTCCTGGATCAGTTAAAGTTGGGGGAATTCTATTTCCCACACAATCCAAACAAGGTCAGATCCACAGGAATGCACATTTTCCAGAATGCATAGAGGATCCACTTCACTAAGAGCTAGTTGGCTTTTTTTTCTTGCACCAAGCATCAGCCTGCTCAAAGCCAGAGAACAACACAGCAGCAGTAAGCCCTGAACAAGAAAAAATCTACAGAGACATCCCAAAAACATGGCTGATTGGTTTTCCAGTCTTTCTTTCTAAAGGCTATTATTTACACTTCTTCAGCTAGAGCGTATTCCCGCTCAGTACATCATCTAGAGGAGAGGAAAAGAGGAAGAAAGCACAGATTGCATCTATAAATTTGTCCAAGGGGTCCTGACCATAGTGCAATCAGAAAGCACTGTTAAATTTTTAATATTTATGTTCTTCCCCTCTACAGATTATTACTGCAAGGCAAAATACAGAATCATCGCTTGATAGACTCATTCAGGTTGGCAGGAGGTCATGTAGTTCAACCTGCTGCTCAAAGCCAGGTCAGCTACCAAATGAGACCAGGCTACCAGATGAGACCAGGCAGTATCTATTGAGACACTGAAAATCTCTAAAGATAGACTGCATGACCTTGCCAGGCATCCTGTTTCCTTGCTTTGTTGTCTTCCTAGAAAAAAAGATTGCCCTTATATCTAGTTAGAACAACCCTTACTTCAGTTAGGAGCATAGCCTGCTGTCCTGTCACCTTGACAGCCTGCCAGCAGGCAGGAACACACTGCCATCAGGCCCCATGAGTCATCTCTTCTCCAGGTCAAACAAGCCCAGCTCCCTCACACTCTCCTGCAGCACAGCATTACCACCCCCTGACAGTCTTGTGCTGAACTTGTTCAGTTTTATCCACATCTCTTGTACTTGGGCGGGAGGGGGTGTGGACACAAAACTGGAAGCAATACTCCAGGTGTGGTCTGACAAGTGTTGATGAAGAGGAACCCTTCCCTTGGAGAAGACACTCCTTCCCAGGTGCACAACCTTGCCCTCATCATTGTTGAACTCCACAGAGTTCCTTCCAGACAGCTCCTCCAACCTGCCCAGGTCCTTCTGAATGACAATCCAGATCTCAGGCACATCCACCGCCCACCTCTTCTTCCCTGTTTGGTATCACCTGCAAACTTTATGAGCAAGGGCTGGTACACCTCCACATCATTCATATCATTAACAAGGACACATCCTGTGACAGACAGCTGGGCCCTCCACTGGTTACCAGCCTCAAGTTATAACCAACTAGTCATCTCTAAAACTAACCATCCCACCAGGTTTCCACCCATCTAGCAGAACCACCCAGATCACAATGACATTCTGCAAAAGACCATGTTGAACCCAACACGAGCATATGGTTTTATTAAGCTTGGTAGCAGTACACTTACTTTACAAATAGGAAAGCCATGACCTACAAATTTTAAGGAATGAGAGTATGGATAAAAAGTTACTGAAACCAGGGAAGGGAAGAGGTTCCTGAACATGCATGTAGGGCACCTGACTTTTAATGAATGAGCCTTACACCCATCTTTTGTTCTGGTAACTGTTTGAATACCCAAAGGAAGAACATAGGCATCACCCCAGGTTTTGGAGGCCATCCTGGAGGCCAAGAGTACCATAACAAAATGCAAGAATCTGAAGAATTAAAAGAGAACAATGGCATTGTATGCTTTAAGTCAAGACTGATTTGATTTACTTTGTTCTGTGCCACACAAGCTGGAGAACTGCGTTACTGGGTCAAGACAATGATCTTCCATCTTGCACATGGAAGCAAAATAAAAATGTATGAATACTAGGAGCATTTTTCTTAATTTGCTCTATAATTTGATTGCAATCAAGTAACTTCATCTGTGAAAGTAATTTTATTTCTGTAACTTCCTTTTTTAAACTTAATTCAGAGTAGTCCCTTTCTATACTGAATATCAAGTACTACTTTAATTGGAAATACCCTCAGCAATGTTTGCATTTTTCAGTCAGAGAAGATCCTCACATGCTGCAATTGTGATGTAAACCAAAATCAGGGGAAATGTTATTTGTTTATGGATACAGTCAATAAGAATTTTTTTCCTCTCCAACTATACTTCAGTCACACATCCACCAAAAAAGCAGAAAGTCCTGTTCAAACTTGCATTAAATTCATGCATCCTAGTTTTATAAGGTGTAGGTTGTCTTTCACGATACTGATGACAACCGATGAAAATTTCCACCAAGTTCTTTCCAACGATACAAGTGAAAGGATACACTGAAATGAATATTCAGTTACTGTCGCAGCTTGCAAACTAAGTCCTGACAGAAACACTTCTACTAAACATTTTCAGCTCTTTGGGTATTACTGTCCTTGGAAAGGTAACTATGCTGTTTCTCATCAAGGACAACACATTATATCTGATCATTACAAGAGCATCCAAATGAGCAAAATTATTTCACCTGATGAATAAAGTTATTAAGAATATAAGTATAGTCTTATTTCTGAGTTTCAAAAATATTTGGAGTAAAATAAGGAAATACATATCTAATAATAATAAAGTTATAAATGCATGCTCTAGAAAAATAACAAAATTTTCTTTGGTTTTCTTTTTATAACACCAAAATTTTATTCAAATAAGTCAGAAATCAGGTAATGACGTTTTTAAATAATTAATTACAATAAGAAAGAAAAATAGTAATAGCACCTGCAAAGAACAGCCTTTCTCTTCAAAAAATATATAATAGAAGGTGGTTTCCCATGGAAGTGTAAGTTCTGCATCTAGTTCTAACATCAGCAGTCTTCACTCTTTCCTTCATTTGGATATGATCTGCTAGACCTTTTTCTTCTCAATCTTCTACAGTTCAAAAGTGAGGCTTTTAGAACTCAAAAGTAAGTCCACGGTTTGCGACAATATTAAATATTATGTATAAAATTCTAAAAGAAAACTGAGGATGAGTCAGTGAGTGCCTTAAAAAGGTGAAAAATATAAAGACAAGAGACATAAGCTCAAGACTCGCAGTGATCTTAGCAGGAAATCTAAACATTGCCATTTACTTTCCAATAACTTACTATCCCCGTTTAGAGATGAGGAAATAATATTTACCTTCTTTCTTGAAGTTTCTGAGACATATATTCAGTATCAATAAGCACAAAAATATTCATATGATTTCTGCATTTTTTTTAATGCATTTCAAGGGAAAAAAAAAAGATTGCAGAACAAAAACAGGAGTGAATGATTGACCTTGAGCTTGGATCCTAATAGTTCACATTCATGGTTCAGTCCCAAGTAACAAGTATTGTACAGTACAGTAAGTCACCGAAACAGATTTTCCCAAGATAATGCCCCTATTCAGCAGCATGTAAGTAGAACAATTTATTTTGCTCTGCTTAACTGCTTCACCCACGCATCTGACATTAAGCTTCAGGCTTCCTGACTGAGCAGCGAACATGTAGGACATGAATCAATGTTGTGCAGTTATGCATCACTTCCCACAGTCTTGCTGATTCAGGCATTTCGGAATAAAACATGAATCAAGTTTTTGATCTAAAAACACAAGTTTGAAAACATATTTTTCAAATCTTGTTTAGCATTACTTGTCATCACTCCTTTAAAAACAAGTTGCACTTTTACATCTTCCTGGTTTCAATATAATCCAAAATATTTTGGTGCAAATAAAACTCAGTACTGTAAGAAAATGTCCGACTGATTTAAATCTCAAAAGATGGTAATAATGCAGCAGTTTCCTTCCATGGATATGTGACAGAACTTGAGTCACTGAGATTCTACTCTCTGCAAACCAAATATGCAAACACACAATGACATTATTGACAAAGATTTGAAAAAAAAACAGAAGGAATATTAAGAAATACTTGTAGAGGTCCATAACGAGAGTCTCATTTACCTCGCTCATGTGCTTCCGTTCCTTATTATAAAGAGCACCTCCCCGTCATAACATATCTGCAGTCTCCCTAAGTAATTCTCAAGGTTCAGTTTATGAATTCCTGATAATTTCCAAGCATCCAGGCTTCCAACTTTTTTACTCATTAAAACTACTTCCAGATTCAGAAATTATTTTACCAATGTTATTTTTCCAATAACAGATGCAAAAACAAGAATGGCTTTGTATGAATATGAATGGCAGTGGGAAAAAATATCTGCAATGAATGCTGATTTTAGCAAGATATGGTCTTGGATACAAGAAATGCCTCCCTCACACCTTGTAGAATATAT